CCCCCGTACCCTACCCCGCTCCAAATATCAGGGTTACATTGGAATCAGCCTTTTAGCCTCCTCACTCACACTAGGGATCTGGCCTGCAAACCGGTCCAATTGGGAATTGACCTGTGACCTCCTGGTTCATTGGTTGACTGTCAACCACAGAGCTACTCTGGCCGGCAACAACTTGTTACTTATTTAGTCAATTGGAAAACTAGTGTTGCTTTCTCATCAATGCTGTTTCAAGAACTGAAATATGGAAAGGGAGTACATTGCTAATTAAACTAGGAATGATCATAGCTTATTGTGTCCCTAAAATTTAACCATTTTTTATATTCTTTAATAGTTTATAATGTTTTTTCTAGCATGTATTTTAGAAGAAAAATGTGAAGACCATGATAGTGAAGATCAGTATGAAAATCATGGGATGAATCATAGGTGAGTCACATTGACATGAGAAAGCATTAAGAGCATCTTTGTTGTTGTTTTTTTAATGGTTTTATATACCTATTTTATTTATTTAATATTTTAAAATTTATTTCAGATAGGTAGGGAGAGGGCGAAAGAGAGACAAACATCAATGATGAGACAGAATTATTGGCACCTGCCTCCTGCATGCCCCTCACTTGGAATCAAGCCCAGAACCTGGGCATGTGCCCTGACCAGGAATCAAACTGTGACCTCCTGGTTCAGAGGTTGGTGCTCAACCACTGAGCCACACTGGTGGTGCAAAAATATGTTTTTATTAATTTTAGATTGTGGAGGTGAGAGGGAGAGATAGAAACATTGATTAGCCACCTCCTGCATGCCCTGTAGTGGGGTTAATAAGTCTACAGTCTGGCCATGTTCCCTCTTGGGGAATTGAATCACCAATCCCGGTGCATGGGTCCATGCTGAACCAGTGAGCCACATGGGCCCAGTCCACAAAACAATCTTAAAAACAGGTAACCCAATTGTATCAGCCCCATTTTAAATGTATTGATTCTTCTAATAATCTCAATGTTTTTTTTCTGAAATATGACCAAATGTTTAGTGTATAAAAAAATAATTACACTTGGAAACTATATACAGAAGTACCATTAATGAATATAAGTGTTTTTATAATATCTATGATCCAGCCTATTTCAGAGGTTTTAGGATATCCGCTTTCAAAAATTGGAATTTACAGAAACATCACACTTTCCTTGAAAACAGTAAAAATGTCATTGTCATATTATTAATAAATATTAAATCATTAACTGAGTATTAATAATATGCTTCTGATTTTTACAGCAGTCATACAGTAGAGAGACTCTGTACAAGGAAGGATGGTGGAGAATCCAGAGAAAACTTCAGCCAGATTCCAAATCATAATGAAAAGAAGGAAACTCCTACTGAAGTAAAACAACCTAAACTTTCAGGTCTCCCAAGTACTCTGGAGAAAATGAAAGAAGACACAGTGGAGAAAAGCCCTGTCAATGTCAGAAAGCTTTCAGTTCCACTTCTCTTAGAAATCATGAAAGAACATATACTGGCGAGAAACCTTATAAATGTAAGCAATGTGGGAAAGATTTCTCTCATCGAGCTTCCCTCCAACGTCATGAAAGAATTCATACTGGGGAAAAGCCCTATAAATGTCAGCATTGTGGCAGAGCTTTCTGTGATCTAGATGCCCTCCAACGTCATGAAAGCATTCATACTGGGGGAAAACCCTATAAATGTGAGCATTGTGATAAAGATTTATCTAATCAAACTTCCCTCAGACGTCATGAAAGCATTCATACTGGGAAAAAACCCTATAAATGTCAGCAGTGTGGCAAAGCTTTCTGTGATCGAGGTGCCCTCTATCGTCATGAAAGAACTCATACTGGGATAAAACCCTATGAGTGTAAGCATTGTGGCAAAGGTTTTGATTATCCATCTTCTCTCCAAGATCATGAAATAATTCATACTGGGGTAAAACCTTATGAATGTAAGCATTGTGGCAAAGCCTTCAGTTATCTACAGTCCTGTCGAAGGCATGAAAGAACACACACTGGAAAAAAGCCTCATGTATGCCAGCAATGTGATAAGGCTTTCAGTCTTTCCATGTATCTTAGAATTCATGAAAGAATTCATACTGGGGAAAAACCCTATGAATGTAACCATTGTGACAAAGCTTTCTCTGATCCAAGTTCCCTCCGACGTCATAAAAGAACTCACGATAAGGAAAAATCCTGTTAATGTAAGCAATGGGGGAAATCCTTTATTCATCCCAGTTCCCTTTGAATTCACAAAAACATTCATAGTGTAAATAAATCATAAGGAAAGAACTCACACTGAAAATAAGCCCTATCATTGTAAAGGTTGTAGAAAAGCCTTTAAGTATGCTAGTTCTTTTTTTTATCCTCAACCTGAGGATATTTTTCCGTTGAGAGAGTGGAAGTCAGAGAGACAGACAGAGAACAATATTGATGTGAGAGAAACACATCAATTTGTTGCCTCCTGCACGTGCCCAGACATTAAAGCACACATAGTGGAGAAAAGCTCTATTAATGTAAGGAATGTGGTAAAGCTTTCAGTTTTACCAAGTCTCTTAGAAAGCATGGAAGAAAGAACACATACTGGGGGGAAACCTTATGAATGTAAGCAATGTGAGAAAGCCTTCAGTTGTCTCACACATCTTGGAAGACATAAAAGAAGTAATGGAAAGAAGCCGCCTGCGAGGGGTTGGTCCTGGGCGTAGGGTTGTAGGAGGAGGCACCAGGGTGAGGTAGGGTCCCTGACACACTGGCTTCGGCCTTATTTTCCTGGGTCCCCACTGGGGTGGGCTGCTGGGTGGTGGCTGCGCAGGTGCCGGATCCCAGGGAGGTGCCTAACCCACATGCAGTGCACACCTGCTCCGGGAACTGCTTCACCTGATGTGCACCTGACCTCACAGTCCTGGCTCTGTGTGCATCTTGGACACCCGGCCACTGGGCTCTGCTCTATCCTACTGGGGCACCTTGGGCAAAACTGCTGTCTTTGCAGGTCCTCTGCCTTAGCTCTGTAGTGCTGTGGGACTTGGAGCGGCTGCAACAGGCAGGCCAGCCGCCAGAATCCCATGGGCAGACCTGTGGCTCTCATCCCCGACTTTGGAGAAGAACAATGGGATGTTTTGAATTTAGGCACACATGTTAGGAATGCAAGGATTTTTGAGTCTCCTTTCTTAGATGGATTCAAAACAGATTACTGGAATACAGTGCCTCACTTTACACTGTACGGAGTGATGGCATAATTGCAAAAAATATTTTCTTAAGTATATTACAACATTTTTAGTGGAAACATTTTTGCCCAAGGTTAACTGAGTTACCCTACTGGCACAAAATAAAATGAGTGATCTTGAAAAATGCAAAGTTGAGAGACATTAAAGCACTAGTTTGGATTAGTAAATAGAAATATTACTGTGATCTTATCACTGAATGAGGTCCATTAGGCAAGACACAAAATATTTCTAGCCCTACAAGAGATTAGATGGTCAATAGTTACCGTTGTTAAATTCACCTTGAATAAGTAATGGCCAAACAATTCCTAATAAGACTAAAAATTCCTCCTTTTTTACCTGGAAGTAGATTTGAGATTCATATTTGAAAACAATTTGGCCCTGGCCAGTTTGGCTCAATGGATAGAGCATTGGCCTGGGGACGGAGGGTACCAGGTTTAATTCCTTTCAAGGGCACATGCTGGGTAGCGGGCTCCAGTAAGGGGCTAGTAGGAGGCAGCCGATCAATGATTCTCATCTCTCTCTCTTTCTCCCTCTCCCTTCCTCTCTGAAGTCAATAAAATATATATTTTTTAAACAGTATATCTTCTACAAAATAAAATAAACTTTAAAGACAATTTGATTGTTTCTAAATTTTTATGGGTGGGATTCATGAACTGACAATGTATGGAAATAAAATGAATAAGTAAATTGGGAGACTTAGAAAAATGAATGCAGTAAATGGTTCTGCTTCTTGGTTGATGCTAAGCTACCCCAGAGTTATTGGATCCGTAGCTTTCAGCTTTACAATGAGTACAATCCTAGATATCTATTTCACCAACAATTACATAGGTAAATCACTATCAATCTGAGCAAGTTGCCTGCTTTGGTATTTTATGGATATGAATTGTACCATTCAGTAAAAAGCTAAAAATGATCTGCCATGTCAGACACTTCAGTGACTTCAAAAATGTGAAGGCTTTTAGTGGAGGTTAATTGTTTGTAAGCAGTGAAACCAACTCTGGCTAATTTAAGGAAGGCAGGCGTTTCTCTGAGATGGGGCAGATGAACACAGGCCTGTGAAAGGACGCAACAAGGGCAGCTCAAGTCCTGTCAGGGTCTGCCCTGGAATGGATCTGCGTTAACCAGGGTCTCCCTTGGCTTTGCTGCCCACAGAGTTGAATTGCCCAGATCCCTTTAGTTCCATGACCACCCCTAGGCCACAGGAGGGGGAAGAGTATTGAAAGATGTTCCCATTGAGACTTAATGCAGAGGTAGATGGTGGGTCCCCAGTGAAAATAGTTATTGTCACAAAAGAGAGAAGAGATATGGTGTGGGCAAAAACAAGAGATTTGTTCTACAGGTAGGAATATAGTTATTAATGGTGAAAATGAAGAAATATTGATACAAGGAAGCATCTGCCTTTCACTTGCAGAT